TGTTCAGGAGGGCCTGTTGTGATAGGACAAGGGGTAATGGTTTTAAAATAGAGGGAGGTAGATTCAGATTGGATATTAGGAAAAAATTTTTTACCATGAGAGTTGTAGAACACTGGAACAGGTTGCCCAGAGAGGTGGTGGATGCTCCATCCCTGGAGACGTTCAAGGCCAGGTTGGACGAGGCCCTGAGCAACCTGATCTAGTTGGAGATATCCCTGTTCCTTGCAGGGGGGTTGGACTAGATGACCTTTGAAGGTCCCTTCCAGCCCTAACCATTCTATGATTCTATGATTCTATGAAAATGTTTTAAATTTTAACCATTATTTAGTTTTAATTGGTTTGATAATGCCTTGGCATTTTTTCCTGTTCGCTCATCAAATGAGTGTTCACAATATAAAATTAAACATACGCTCTGCTTTCCAGACTTCCCATTAGTAATAACATAAGTGCTAACCTTCCACCCACATTTGACAACATTCACCAAATCTCAGAGCAAATGTCAAGGTGTCAGCTGAAAACTACAGTACTCATGACTTTCGTAACTTTAACACCAGTTCTACGGACTGGAGACACCCATCCAAATGTGAAATGATTGTGCCAAATCCCTCACAGACAGTCAGTAGTTGATCCAGGAGCAGATCAGGAAGCTGGGATGGACTGTAGACATGAACTCAACCGAGAAACATTGAGTTTCGCCTTCTAAGTACAGGTTTCCCAGGCTGCTTGGAACTCCTATCCTTTATTTACTGGGTTTTCATTAACAAAGGATGATATGATTTGACCAAACCATACTATTATATTATTATAATTTGTTAAATAAACATGTTTAGAACCAACCAAAGATACGCTTTTTCCATTTGACCGCAGAAAAGTCAGCTGTTTGCCCAACTCTATCTATAACCTGCTTATTTTCAAAACGAGAGCATAGGCAGAAGAAAAAATTGAGACTTTTTTTTTGCCTTTGAGTCAGCTGTGTACTGAGATGCTGACCATGTCAGAAGCGAAAAAAAACAGTCTGGAAAACATTCACATGAGCCACCAGCCATCGTAGGAAACCAGGAGTACTCTCAGTTCTCAAGAGGGAAAGGCACAATGCTGTGCATCTGTCACAACAGTATCTCCAGTCAAATCATGAACCCAGCCTTCTCTTGGTTAATTAATTGCCCAAAGCTTCAAATAGTAAAGTAATACACAATATATGCTGCGTAAGTACCTCTGAAGCTATTATCAGACTGCAGCAGCCACACATAAAAGACCCCATACCATTTACATTTTCTAACCTTTTTCCTAATGGGTGTCTGCCTTTATTTAAAAGATTTTAATACAGACGTGGATGAATGTGTCACTGTATCTCTGTTGTGATTTATGTTTGCAGTAACTGGAGGAGCAGAAGGGTACCTGCGTAACTGATAGGATGCTGTTTGACTTCTGGAAAGTTATTTCCCCTGTGCAGCTCTGTTTCTTTCAGAAACAGCACTCTGTGTCTCCAGGGCACACTGTCAGAGTACAGTTTTTTACTTCTTTAGTGCCTTCAGTCATGGGTATTGTCAGAGACTAAAAATCAGGCTTAATATGAAGTTGGTGGTGTTTCTGAATCCATTACTTGTGTCCCTTTTTAACAAACGT